TTCCCAGTTGGGAGAAGGTAGGAAATTTTTGAAATTCGCCCACCCATTCCGCAACCTTTATGGCGTCCATTAGATGGATCCTACCATTCTTTCACTAGGAAGGGGAGGAACAAGGGAAAACAGGAGCTTTTCCCCGTGGACCAACCCGTGACGAGATCCTATTCCCGGGCCCATAACAATTTGGTATCAAAGCCTACCGTCATGGGAGATCTGGAGCAGCTATCATCTAGGGTCCACGAACTGGAGCATAGGCTCGTGGAAACCAGCGTGGAGGTTCGTGAGGTCAAAGACGATGTCCGGGAGCTGCGACGCTTGCTGGAATCGTATTTCCCTAACAAGGAGAGGAATCCAGAAGGGGTTATAACCACAAACAGCCGCCGACCAGACGACGGAGTCGTCCGGCGAACAGCAGGTCATCCCCCCGGTAGTCGCGGTCGTTCCCAAGTACAACAGGCTAGAGTTCCCTTCATACAGCGGCGCCGGAGATCCTTTGGGATGGCTGTACAGATGCGAGCAGTTCTTCCGCAACCAATGGACAGGGGACAGCGACAAGGTAAGCTTGGCCGCATTCCACACGACGGAGGAGGCGCAGCTCTGGTTTTATAAATTGGAGCAGGAGGAACCCGGGCTCAGTTGGACCCAATTCAAATCCTACTGCCTCCTCAGGTTTGGGCCCCCATTGACGAGCAACCCGTTGGGTGAACTGATCAACCTCAAACAGACGGGAACGATGGCTGAATACCAGYGCCAATTCCAGACCCTCCTTGCCAGAGCAGCTTCAGTACAACCGGACTAGCAGGTAGACATATTCACCGCAGGGTTAGCAGAACCCTTGAGGGTGGATGTGGAGATGCAACACCCCCCCAACCTGGTTACAGCCATGAATCTAGCTCRCGCCTTCGAACGAAAGATGCAGCTCAGCCGCGGAACCTTCAGTATGGGGCAGCCTCCAACCGCATGAGCATCCCCAGAACCACTCGAAATGGCTCCATCTTCAACA